TTTTTTTTTTTTTTTTTTTTTTTTTTGCCGTTTCAATGCGCTACTCTGTCAGGCAGACAGGCAGACAGGTAAGACGACAGGCAGAGAGGTGGCCAGGCAGGCAGGCAGGGAGGTACACAGGCAGGCAGGCAGACAGGCACGCAGGCAGGTACACAGGCAGGCAGGCAGACAGGCACGCAGGCAGGCAAGCAGACAGGTTGACAGGTGTCTTCCTGTCTGCCTGTCTGTCTGTCTGTCCGTCGATCTCACAGGTGTTGACGTGGCAAGCAGGTGTTGACGTGACAGGTGGAAGTCCTGCATAGGCACAGAGGCATTGACGTGACAGGTGTTGAGAGGTGTTGACGTGACAGTGTGGACCTGGGCCTGTTCTCAGGCTTACATGTGTCTGTGTCAGGACCTCAGTCAATGGGTAAAAAAAAAGAAAAAAAAAGAAAAAAAAAGGCAGACAAGCATCTGTTTTTAGCACCAGACCTGATTTTTTTATTTTTTTTTGTTAGCACGGACCTGGACCCATACATAGTCGGGGCTGCATTCCGATCGCTCCCACGGTAAGCAAGAAGAAAAAAACTGAATATCGGTGCTGCATTCCGATCCCTCCCACGGTAAGCAAAAGCTCTCTCTCTCTCTCTCCCTCTCTCTCTCTCTCTCTCTCTCTCTCTCTCTCACACACACACACACACAGGTTCGGCGAAAATCAGCGGCCAGGGCATATTCAAGCTCGGCATCGATAGCTGGGCCAAGTACTGGTGGTTTAAAAGGCTAGGCAGTGAATACGCCCAGACTGGGCCTGCACTGTGGGTGTTCGGTGCAGGCCAGGGCCTAAGCTGCTTGTTGGGTCCGGTTGTAGGACGGGGTTACGTGCTTACTGTTTTTTTTTTTGTTTTTTTTTTTTTCTAATTCGAAGTCGAGGGTTCGACGGAGTCGGCACGATGGAGCCTTTTCTTGCCTGGACGCATACACCCGCTTCTAATTCAGAGTCGAGGCCTTGACGGTGTTGACAGGTGTTGACGTGAGATTTTTTTTTTTTTTTTGCCGTTTCTACTTTGTCAGGCAGACAGGCAAGACGACAGGCAGACAGGCGGGCAGGCAGGCAGGTACACAGGCAGGCGGGCAAACAGACACATGGACAGGCAGGCATGTACATAGGCAGGCAGGCAGACAGGCACGCAGGCAGGCAAGCAGACAGGCTGACAGGTGTCTGCCTGCCTGCCTGTCTGTCTGTCTGTCTGTCGATCTCGCAGGTGTTGACGTGGCAAGTAGGTGTTGACGTGACAGGTGGAAGTCCTGCATAGGCACACAGGCATTGACGTGACAGGTGTTGACAGGTGTTGACGTGACAGTGTGGACCTGGGCCTGTTCTCAGGTTTACATGTGCCTGTGTCAGGACCTCAGTCAAGGGGTAAAAAAAAAAAAAAAAAAAAAAAAGGCAAACAAGCATTTGTTTGACTGGCTATCTGGCTGTCTGTGTGTTTGAACCTGTGCAACGACGCAGACAGGCACGCAGGCAGAGAGGCAGGCAGACAGTCAGACTGACACGCAGACACACACGGCGACAGACAGGCAGACACATAGGCAGACAGTTAGGCAGATAGGCAGGCAGATACGCAGGCAGGCAGGTCAACGTGTCAGGTCGACGTGGCAGGTAAGCAGACAGACAGACAGGCAAGACGACAGGCAGACAAGCGGGCAGGCAGGCAGGCAGGCAAGCACACAGGCAGGCAGGCAGACAGGCACGGGTAACAGGTGTGGGCCCGGGTTGTTGAATGGGTCTGGGCCAGGTAACGGTCTGGGCGAGGCAGACAGGCCCGGGTTGTTGATTGGGTCTGGGCAGGAGGCCAGGTAACAGGTCTGGGCCCGGGTTGTTGATTGGGTCTGGGCCTGTGCCTCTTTGAGTGGGGTATGGGCCTAGACCCACAGGTCTGCCTGTTCTGAAAGCCCAGCCCTGGACCTGTGGATCTGGGCCTGTGCCTCTTTGACTGGGGTATGGGCCTAGACCTGATCTTTTTTTTTTTAGCACGGACATGAAAGCCCAGCCCTGCAAGTCTTGCCCGATGTCCGGTTCCCGAGGTTGACCTACCGCTGGTCTGCGGGTCTGTACCCGTTGACCTGGGTCTGGGCCCCGGTTGTTAATTGGGTCTGGGCCTGTGGCCCTTTGAGTGGGGTATGGGCCCAGAGTCCCAGACCTGATTTTTTTATTTTTTTTTAGCATGGACCTGTACCCATACATAGCCTGTTGTATGTGTGTCTGTGCTTTTGTCCGTCTGCCTGTTCTGAAAGCCCAGGCCTAGAGCTCAGGATAGGCGTAGACCTGGACCCATACATAGCCTGCTGTATGTGTGTCTGTGCGTCTGTCCGTCTGCCTGTTCTGAAAGCCCAGCCGTAGACCTGTGGGTCTGGGCCTGTGCCCCTTTGAATGGGATATGGGCCCAGACCTGATTTTTTTTTTTTTTTTTTTTAGCACGGTAAGCAAAAGTCTCTCTCTCTCTCTCTCTCTCTCTCTCTCTCTCTCTCTCTCTC